AGTAATAGATAAGTAATAAGTAAGTAATAACTCTAGTATATATATATATTTATTTTATTAGTTAGAATATTCTTTTAGATAGTTATTAATAATATTATCTATATATCTATTATTATTAGTTTTATAATACTTATATATTAATAGTAACTTATATTATATAGCTTATAATAATCTAATTATACTATTTAGAATAATATTTTAATTAGTTTAATCCTAACTTACCCTAGACCAGATCTAGTATAAGTTATCTAACTATTATATATAGGCTTAGTTAGATATTTAAACCAGAGTATATTAGTAATTCTAATAAGGAGTTAAATAACTCGACTGAGTAGTATTATATAGTAATAAAGGTAGTAATAGTACTTAGCTTATTTATAAAATAATAAAGATAGTAATATATAATATTTAGATTATTTAAGTTAATAAAGGTAGTAATTTATAAATTATTAATATTATTATAAGTATAGATAGACTTAAGCTATATAGTTTATTTAGAACCAGACTAGTAATAATAGTCTTTATAGATAAAAATTAGTATTTTAAGGTTTATAAAAGAAGTTATACTAATAAAAGAGTTACTACTAGGTATAACCTTTAGTATTAATAAACCTTATATATAATATAAGTATAGCTATTTTAATATTAAACCTTAGATATAGCTAGGTATAAGGTTTATAGCTATAAGGCTGAAGTTTATTATATTATAATACCTGGGTATAGTATTAAGTTATTAAATTACTAGTATCTGGGAATTCCCCCCCTTTTTTTTTTTAGCAGCTGTACAGCTCCCTCACTTACTACTACTACTACTACTAGTCCCGGAGTATACCGATATAAAAAAGACACAAATTCGAAATTTAGGCTTAGCTGGATATGTCATTGGAAAAGGTCTGGCACTGGGCCTTGCGGCGTCGACGATGTGCTTGTTGCAGAGAAGTTCATTCTCCTCCCCAACTGAAGAGCAGTCAGTGGCAGTGAGATCCACACTACGATTCAGCTTCAGTCAAGAGGAAGCCTTCACTGGAGTTACAAACAGTGTTAATAGAAAGCTGTACTACGCAAGTAAGGGAGAACGGCAGGATTATTGAAGTGGTTATGCGTGAGTACATTCACGAGAACCGCCCCATGTAGACCTGTCTGAGCTAGGAGAAGACTCCTGTAATAGCTCTACTGAATTGTACTTGAGCCTCAGTCAAATATACGTCGCTTGATGCGTACGCGTAGTTTTGAGGCTGGAGCCAGACTGGTGGTACCAGTTCGAAAGCCAAGGTGTTGCCATTCCCCTCCAGCCTGCTCAATGCCCACAATGCGATCATGCCAGCTGCGACAGCCAACACTTTCTTCCGCAAAGGTGTGACCTTTGCACATGGTCAGGCCCAGGCCCCATGGTCTCAGAGTCTTGTAGCTCGTTGTGCTTCCTTGATCTGTCCGGGAGGAACTTAAGAGGCCGTGGATAGATCGGGGCAGAGTAGATCAAAGAATCGTGCCTAATTAGGGCCGTGGAAACGCATAACCAGGATCCTGGGCGTAGCTGATATGGGTCTTTGCCGTCATCTAGTGTTAGTTTCTCCGTAACTCCCCAAAATATGATCGATTCCTCTGTCGCCCGAAACGACTCGAGAAAGGTTGACTTTAGGAATGGGCATTGCTTGGCCAGCGTCCCAATGTCCAGCTTGGTTATTGAGGAAGGCCATCGGCTGATATTGACCAAGACATCGGAAGACGCAAGTTCTTGCCGCAGAGAATCTAGCAGGCCGGGAACGGAGTATGTATAGAATATGTACCAAAACATCAACTGCTGTGTGTTTTTATTTTGTGCCCAGAGGAGAGAAAACTCGATGTGGCCGATATTTTCAGTTGAAAGGCTGTAGCATCGTACACCTCGTACCTGTCCAATACAGTTTCACTCACGCCAGTCATGTCGGTGCCGTAGCCGACAGCCTCGCCGTTGCGATATTGCTTTCGTACGACGGTAAATAGAAGAAATGGAGTCAACTAGCCTGTCTCTGGCTGCAATGCCACGTCGGAACGAGGGAATTGGCACCCATGTAGGAACACTAAGCGCGAGGAGCGATCTACACCCCAAAGCAGTCTCAATCCGACAGGGCGGAAGAATTCTGATCAAGATAGTTGTGTCCATATAACAGGGGGATGGAAATGTGAAAGCTCAGCCCGCTCAAGAGGCTCTCGAGATCGGCCTCCACAACATGCCCTGTGTACGCTGGACCTAAGCGTAGCACTCTCGCCTTTGCGAGTTGTTCCCGAGGATGTTGTAGATCAGTATTTTCCGAGAAACTAATTAGCGAAGACACTTTGCTCCCAATATCCCCCGGTGAAGAGTGGCTGTAACGGTTGACTCATTGAGAAAATCTCGCGCGACAATTTCCATGAATCCATCAACCATCTCGATATATTCATCTCGGGCGATGCCTCTGAAATCGCACCAAAAGATTCGCCGTAGCATCGAAGTGCCCATTGGGTGGATGTCGAATGCTTCATTTTGCTTGAAGAAGACCTTCTCGATATGGGAAACATCGGGTACGATCTCAGAGTAGTGCGTGCAACCGACGGAGCGTGCTATGAACTGATTAATCCCAATAATTCTGAAGGAGCATTCAGATTAAAACTGGCCGAATAACCGAGGATATCATGGACGAGGAATATCGGTCTGCAGCCAATCCAGCTTCCGGCATGATGGTTGGAGGCAGCGACGGCCCGGTAGACGGGGTTTGTCCATATCGCAGGATGAGCGACGTTGCGGCAACAAGAGCGCAGCCAATGGCGGCAGCAGAGAGCAGGCCATATACCTCTATGTCTGGCATCTTGATAGACCAACACGTTTCATAGCACCAAATAATGAGACTGGATAAGGGGGATTAGGTTAGGTGAAATCTCAGATTGGGTACGCTTCAGTACATTCTTTCTCAGACCCCCCTTCGCCATCCCTCAACAATATAGGATCTGAGACCGACAGTCTCAGTCAGCAGAGCCAGTGGCTGATTGATCCAAGACATGCAGATCAAGCAATCAGACCGGTAGAAGTGAATGAGATTGGCCGCGACGCACGGAAACGCCATCGCCAGCCTTGGGCATGCAACTTTCGGGTGTGTGAATCTCTGAACCATCATTATATCAGTATCTCAGCACGAGATTCATATCCCACTTCTCATAGGTCTGATAGGACCTTGACGTGATGCATTGTTGTGTTGTTAATTGGCGTGAGCGGTACTCAATCTTTTCGGAACATTAGGTCAACAGCCCCCATGCGTCATCATTTGTCTCTACCGCCCAGTGATCGCCTGTCAAAAATCTCTGCGATGCTCTCCATAAGACGGTGGCTGGCTGAGACAGACGCGTATTTCGGGTGGCTACGGGCCTCCTTCTGTCTCGCCTGCGGGGAGATTGATGGCCGAGGGCGCGCGAATCCGAGCCTTTTGGCGTATCTTGCAGAGAGACTAAGCGCTTTGGGTCTTCTAAGTTCTGCCTGCTCCATCAGCGGAACCTTCTTCTCCCTCTTGCCTTGGGGAGCTTACGGTGGCGGTATTTGCCGCCAGAAATTGATGCAGCAGCAGACTCGAGTCTCACTCACCTCCATCACAATCCGTCCCAGGAACGATGCCCGTGTTTTCGTCCAACATCTAGCCTTATTTTTTTTGTCTTGAACCGGGTAAGGGCCTCGTAAACCGACTCGAAGGATTCCCACGACCTCTCTCGACGTAATCATGACCGCCAGCACCGAAAATGGTGCTGTGACATCAGCGACGACGGCCTCGTCATTGAGGAAGCGCCACGCAGCCACCTCTCTTCTGCAGAGATGCGACCCGATCCCTCCCCGAAGCAATGGCGAGGTCTGGGGTCGCACCGGTGGTGGCAGGTCCTGGTTCGGCGCGTTGATCGCCTCGACTCCTGTTGTCCTTGCACCACTCGCATCTATCTCGACCTTCATCACGCTCGCTGCGTTCGAAGGGTCGTACGCCTCGTTCGGCGCCGCCGTGGCAAAGGAAGGATTCTGGGCCATCTGCTGGAAGTACGGACCGCAGCTGACCCTCAAAGGCGCATTTGCAGTCGTTTGCTGGGTTAGCTTCCAGGCGCTCCTTTTCGTGTATCTGCCCGGCCGTTTGCAGACTGGGCAGTACACCCCAGCGGGACATCTGCTCACCTACCGCATCAATGGCCTCTACGCGTGGGTCCTGACTCACGTTTTGTACTTTGTCCTCTGTTGGAATGATCTCTTAGACCCTGGCTTCATCCCGCGCAACTGGAGCAGCCTGATCGCGGCGCTCAATGTGGCCGGTCTGCTCATTTCTGCTCTCGTATTTGTGAAGGCCTACGTGAGCCCAACGCACGCAGACGACCGAAAATTTAGCGGTATGCTGTCACTGCGAGATATCATTATGGCATACCGTTGCTGACTTTTGGATCTAGGTTCGTTTATTTATGACTATTTCATGGGCATCGAGCTTAACCCTCGTATCGGCGATGCATTTGATCTAAAGCTTTTTAGTAATGGGCGCCCGGGGATGATCCTCTGGACTCTCATGTGAGTCTTGGCTTCACCTTGGGACCCTCACACAAGATAAACATGCTAATCTCCTTTCCATTCGCAGTGATTTTTCCAACCTCGCGTATCAGCACCAGACGCAGGGGCACGTCGAGCCGTCACTGGTGCTCGTCTCCATCCTCCAAACTCTGTATGTGGTGGACTTCTTCATCAACGAGTCTTGGTATCTACGCACAATTGATATTGCTCATGACCACTACGGCTTCTACCTCGCCTGGGGCTGTTTCTGCTTCCTGCCTACGACGTATACGATCCAGGGCCAGTACCTGGGAATGTACCCTTCATCGTCATCGACCGCCTACCTTGCCGTCGCCTTTATCGTTGGCCTGGCAGGGTATGTGCTTTTCCGCTCCGCCAACAACCAAAAGGACAAGGTCCGTAGCAGTGGTGGCCGATGCCAAATTTGGGGAAGGCCCGTAGAGTACATTGAGGCCACATACACGACCTCGGATGGAAAGGAGCACAAGAGCCTCCTGGTTTGCAGTGGATGGTGGGGTTGGTCAAGACACGCGAACTACGTGGGGGATTTATTTCTCAGCTACAGCTCCTGTGCTCTCGTGGGAAGTACGAGGTTGGTGGTGTGGACGTATGCCATTTGGATGACGGTGCTACTTGTCCATCGATGTATGCGAGACGAGAAGCGATGTTCTGTCAAGTATGGCCCAGCCTGGACTGAATATTGCAGAAGAGTGCCCTGGCGATTCGTACCTGGTATCTGGTAATCAGCAGAAGCGGAATGGGCCATCCATGAACACAGATAGAACAGTTAGACGGTCCACACTAGCTTGCTACATGAGAAATCCGATCCGCCACCTCTGGTATGATCAGCTCTAGGCCTATGTATGCCATGGGGTGTGGCTGGTCAGTCGACAAACAGATGCAAGAACTAGATAGAGCACCCTCGAGTCCTTGACAAGTCTTAACCATAGGCGAAAGCCTACTTTCGGCTTTCAAAAGGGAGTATACATATCTTTGAATTCTAATCAATACTTTCTCATACGGTTATTGAGCATATCATCACACCAATCCGTATGAATCCTACTACCTGAGATCTACCTAGCTCACGGATATACCAAGCAATCGAGACATCTTACCGCGAAGACTACGCCGGCTCCTTTCGCCTATTGGTCCAATCCGTCGCTCGGCAGGCGGTCCGACTTACTTCATCGGCGATACATGTAAACTTTGGACGTGAGCAGGTACTTGTTATCAATATTCGGTCCCTCGGATCACAACTGACCAGGCTAATCTCTGTGGCGAGGGCCACCACCCGTTTTGACCTCTCTTTTGTGGTTGCCTTGAGGTGACAAGGGAAAAGAAATCCCGAAATGAACTTGCCAACGACGAAAAATTTAGCATAGGTACAAAACTATGCAGTCAAGTGTGCTGGCTATATGATAATGTCAAGAATGGCCAACTCCCACTACAATAAATGTAAGCTTCACTTCAATTATAATACGAAAGACAAAGTTTCATAACAATGAAGCTGCCAAGGCCCGGAACATCAACGCAGTGAATACGAAAAGCCTAACAATGCAGCCTTTCCTAATCTGCCCAAGGAGCGATACGCCAGGAAAATCCTATGTTAATTAAGTTTATAAAAACCCTTGGATCGTCATCCCACACCTCACAACTCCGTCTAATTTTCGATACCCGCAACGATGGAGGACCACTCCAAACACGTTCACGAGGTTGCGTTGGATGTACGGCGGTTCTTTGAGATTGGAGAATCATATCGCGTTTTCCACGGCTCCTCCAACAGCACCCGCCCTCGGCACGGGTCACAGCAAAATGTGGTCGACATCAGCATGCTGAGCAATGTACTGCAAGTGGACACGGAGAGCCACGTCGCCCTGGTTGAGCCGAATGTTCCCATGGATCGCCTCGTCGAGGCAACTCTCATCTATGGCCTTGTACCTCCCGTGGTAATGGAGTTCCCGGGCATTACGGCCGGCGGAGGGTTCTCCGGAACATCTGGAGAGAGCAGCTCGTTCCGCCATGGGTTCTTCAACGACACTGTCAACTCCGTGGAGATGATTCTTGGAAACGGAGATATCGTACGGCATCCCGCCAGGAGCGGCAGGACCTTTTTCACGGAGCTGCAGGGGCGGCTGGGACCCTTGGTATCGTGACACTCATGGAAGTTCGACTTATCGAAGCCAAGAAGCTAGTCAAGACAACATACCAAAAAGTCACTGGAGTTTCAGATGCCATTGCAGAGGTTCAGTCACAAACCGAAAACCCCGATGCCGGCTATGTGGATGCCATCGTCTATTCCAAGAGCACAGTGCCATCATTACTGGCCAGTTGACCGATACGATGCCCGCCGGGGGCACTCTGCAGACTTTTAGCAATGCTCACGATCCGCGGTTCTATATGCATGTTTGCGATAAAACCAGGGATCTACCACCAGCGGCCACCATCGTCGAGTACATTCCCTTGGGCGAATATCTCTTCCGTTACGATAGAGCCGGCTTTTGGGTTGGCCGACAAGGCTACACCTATTTCAAAGTCATCCCATTCATCAAGTTCTTCCGTTGGCTGCTTGACGATTACTCTCACACCCAAACACTCTACCATGCCCTCCATGCAAGTGGGGTTTCGCCACAGTTCGTAGTTCAAGATCTAGCTTTACCGTACGAGACAGCTGAAGACTTCATGAAATGGGTTGACCAAGAACTGGGCATTTGGCCCCTCTGGCTATGTCCTCTTCGAAAATGCGCACTGCCATCTTTTCACCCCGTCACCAGGCCACAAACTACAAACCGGTTAACGGGCGGAGATAGAATAGACTTTGGGAGAACCGACATGTCACAGCCGATGCTGAATATTGGAGTTTGGGGATGGGGACCGTGGGATTACGAAACCTTTGTTGCTAAAAAAACGCCAGCTGGAGAGCACTTTAAAGGCTCTGGGCGGCCGCAAGTGGCTCTATGCTCACACATACTACACCGAAGATGAGTTCTGGGCCGAATATGATCGACCGTGGTATCGGGCCCTAAGAGAAAAGTACTTTGCTACGACTCTGCCAACTATATATGACAAGGTGAAGGTCGAGCCCCAAACTGAAGGGGAAAATCACAACCAGTGGAGCAAGTCTTGGCTGAGCACATGGCCTATTGGAGGGCTGTATGGTATGATTCTAGCTACTCTCTCTGGGGATATTAGCTTTCATCGTCGGGCGACGTGGAGACATAAGGAGAAGTAGGACTTGTAAGATCCTTATCTCGTCATCGAGCGAGCCAACAGGCCCTCTAGTTGTGACATGATGGCTACAGAAAGATGAAGTCTTTGATTAAATAGATCAAATTTCACTAATAGCTCTGGGAGATAGACGCACAATACACGTTTGCATGATTTGTATGAACTTTAATATAGCAAAATTAAACTGTTTAAAACCAGGCCTGCACCATTCGGAATATGATAACATCATGGGGGCACACAAAGTGATTGTGGTAGCGTATCATGCCGCCTCGATCCCAACCACTGGGGTAGTTCACATGTAAGTCTGCCAATAGCAGAAGAAGTTCTCAATACTTCTCTTCCGTGAAATGGCACAAGCATAATGACAGTTTATCTTCCAGGGAAATCGGAATTACAAATGCAACTAAATCACGTCTCGCTATTTCATCCCGTCTAAGCTCTTCCTAGAAGCCCAACAATGTCGTCCTTTTCGAAAGCACTGGCAACATCCAACGCACTTCTCCCTTGAATATCTTCCTTCAAAGGGTCTAGCCCCTTCGCCATCATCGCCTCAAACAAGGCTTTGTCATACCCAGGCTGCGCGAAATATTGTTTCTGCCGTCTAGCTATGAGATGGAGCATCGTCTCACCGTCATTATTCGAAGCAAATACGTCAACGCCGCTATCTGGAGGAAAGAACTCATCGTAATAGTCAAGATGAAACGTAAGCATGTGTTCAGGGCGACGGCCGGATACCGATGACAAGAGGTAGAGATGCAGGGGGGTGTTGCCAGCGTTGTCTACAACGTTGATCGAGCCGCCTCCCTCAATGTATCTCTTCCAAAGAGACAAGCATCCGTCAAAATAGTCAGCGGGTAGGGTACTGGTTGAGCCGCTGAAACGACGTGATCTGCGATTCAGGCTCGAGCGCTGGTTGGCAATATGGTGCAGCACCGTCAGGCCATTTGGGTCGGCCTCGCTGATGTCCGCTCCCTTTAAAAGTAGAAGCTCGCAGATCTTCGGGCGGAGTGTGCGCAGGGCATAGTGGAAAGGCGAGAACCCCTGCTTGTCTTTGAGAAATAATGTAGGGGCAACCTCGTCGCGGTTGATGAACTCGATGAGAACATCGTCCTCCATGTCGTTGTTCGCTAACAAATGGTGAAGGGCCGTCATGCCTGCGATATCAGCCAGCGTAGCATCGGCGCCGTAATCGAGGATACGGAGGGGAGGTCCTGTCAAAAAGGGATCTTTCTTCGGGTCTTTGCGTCCTCCTCGCGGCAAGCTTCCAAACCAGTCACAAGCGGCCATCAACACTGTGCGCCCCTGTTGATCTCGGTGGTTGAAATCAATCTTGGCCCTGCATTCCTCTGAAAGTAAAGCGTCCAGGATCGGATAGTCTGGGAACTCGAAGAGGAAATGTATCAACGTTTCGTTATCACTCACTGGCAAGTAAAGGTTTGCTCCGCGTTTCACGAGGGAACATAACAACGGTACAGACTTGAGAATTTCATCGTTGAAGCCATTGGAAAACGCACAGCATACAAGTGCATATAGTTTGCGCGACTCTTTCAGTGAATAATGCACATCGCGGCTGTGCCGTACTTCATCGAGGGAATCCACGCTGAGTCCTTGATCAAGGAGCATCTCAAACGCCGGGAAATTCGCGTCTTTTATTGCCATGAACAAAGGGCTGAGAGACCCTTTGTTGGGGTCTGCCCCCCGTTTCAGCAGCTCCTGCATTATGTCAAGAGCACCGGATGCTTTGTGAAGTGGCGATAGCCCGTTGTTGTCCAGGGCGTTTGGGTCCGCGCCATTGTCCAGGAGGATACTAACTGCGTCAAACCTATGTGAACCCTTGGTCGCATGATTATCGACGTACTTTCCCTTGGATGCCAGATGAAGAGGCGTACAGCCTTTTTCATCTTTTGCGTTCACATCAGCTCCTTTTGAAATCAAATATTTGATCGCCTCTAGGTGCCACCATTCATCTGCCGATGCGAGGATGTGAAGTGCAGTTCCGCCCTCAGCGATTTTTACTGAGACACCACCTTTCACACGACGAGGGACTGCTGAGTGTGCATCTGGGTCAAGCTGAAAACCCTCAACGAGTAGTTTGACTGCAACCAGACTGATTTTCGAACGCTTGCATACCATCTGGAGCGTGGTAAGAGCATGCGTATCAGAGAAATATACTCGAGCAAACTCGGGTCCTTGAGCCATTTCCTTGAGCGAAGGAAACAAGCCATAATGCTTGACGAGCACAGGAATTCGCTCCAGAACCTCGAGATTTTCGGAATTGATCGCCTCGTTGATTAACTTGTGATAGACTGGGTTTAGACTGTCAGCCTCGAAGCCCTCATTGACAATGGTTGCCAGGTCTTCATAAGACATGAGGTTGAGATAACGGGTAGGATTATTGACAACTTCATCAACAAGTGTTTTGTCCTTTCTCAGAGTATCCAAAGCCGATCTTTGCTGCATGAGAATCATCTGAGCTTGCATTCTTCGGCGAGCCTCGTCTAGTTTCAATCTCCCATCTCGGTCATCATCTAGATGCTTTGTTGCTTGGGTGAGTAAATCCTCATCTCGGGAAAATACTTCGATAAATTCTGGGCACCCAAGATGGAGGGCAGTGTCCAATGCCGTATATCCAGATTCGTTGACAGCGCCAACATCAACGCCTGCTTCTCGAAGCATCTTTACGATGGTAATGACAGAAGGGCAGAAGTTCCTTCGAGATACCGCTTTCCCATCGTTGTATATGCTTTGATACCAGGGACTGGGAGTATACGGTCTTTGAGACGAACCTGGGCGGAAAATGTCTTTGGGTGGACCTTGCCTCCATTTGAAGAAACGCTGGCCTTGCGAGTCCCATATGTTTTGTTCTACTCTGAAATGCGCACAAGCGTGCAGAGGAGTATCGCCTTCCAAATCGATTACTTTGACTTTGGCACCTTTGCTGAGAAGAAGCGCAACGGATTCTGGTTCCCCGGAGCTGCAGGCATAGTAGAGAGGTGTCTTGCCAAACCGGTCTCGCCGCTCTATCCCTGATCCGGCCAATCTCTCCAGTAATTGACCAAGAATTTCGGGTCTTCGAGCACGGGAAATCAGATGCCAAATGTTCTGGGAGTTGTTGGTGAGGACAGTCCAATCAGCACCGCATTCCACTAACTCGTTGAATTCGGACACAGATCTCATGCTGGCCAGATGAAGAGCAGTCAAGCCATTCCTGTCTTTGATATCAATCTCGACATCGCCTTTACAGTTGAGGGCGTCTATAAGATTCGATTTTCGTGATTTGTGACCATCACGGCTCTCGTAGAGGTGCAGAGCTGTTTGCCCATCTTTGTTGACAGCGTTGACAGATATTCCAAGATTGATAAGGTATTCGAAGAACGGAACCGGATTACCATTCCCTCCAGAAGAATTATTGTCGAAACTATAATTCTGAGTCGCCAGATGGATTAGTGTGTTGCCATCAATGTTCAGACTGAGAGGATCCAATCCCCTCTTTATAAAGTATTCTATGCGCGAGATGCTCGGTTGTCTGACGACATGATGTAGTGCGTTATTGCCTAAGTTATCAGCAATGTCTACTCTCGCTTTATGCTTCTCGAGGACAGAGAGTTTTTCAGGATACCAGAGGCAATTCAAATACAGTGTGAGACCTTGTTGATCTTGCGTGTCAATGTCAATGCCTTCTCCCAGCAAGGTTTGCAAGCAAGAAGAAAATCGGGTGTCGTCTACTCGAAACAATCCAAACCAACATTTCTGTTTTACGCCATCATCGTGACAGCTGGACAGGAGTGTCTTAAATAACTCAACTGACACAAACATTGCGGCCTGCACTGCTGAGTTCCCCTTATCGTCCTCCACGTTGGGATCAGCACCCTTCTCAATCAAGTATTTGATAACAGCATCCTGCTCCTCCATCTTTGCTTGTTTCTTTGAGCGAAATTGCAAGGCGAGATGAAGAGGAGTCTCACTGCTGGAGTTCTTCTGATTCGGATCGCTTCCATACTCCACCAGAAGCTTAACGGCTTCCAGGCTCAGATGTGGCCCGACAAGCAAATGCAAGGCGGTGCTTCCGTTATGGCCAGTCGTTTTGGTGCTCGCTCCAGCCTCTAGAAGTAATCTTAACAGGTCCACTTGGCATTCCGATGGCTCATCAGTGGACTGGGACTGGCGTCCTTTCGCTGCTAAATGCAAGGCCGTGAGCCGCCCGCCATTAAGTTGTTCAAGATCAGCACCGGCATCAATCAGGAGCTGCAGAATGGTTCGGCATGCTTTCTTGTTTTCTTTTCCCCATTCTTGAATTATCCAGTGAGCTGGTGTCTTAGAAGCTTCCTTTCTCCTACCCCCTCCATTCATAGTAGGACGAGGTGCCCAAGCAGAGATTTTGTTAACATCCGCTCCACGTTTGATCAGAACCTTGATACACTCGATGTTGAATACGCGGCAGGCTAGATAGAGGGCTGTTCCACCACGATACGTGGCATCAGCCGAGACATTTGATCTCTTGAGGATCTCCAGCACAGAGTCTGTGCGGCTAAACCGACAACATTCGCACAGCAGCTGCTCTAAAGTTTCTTCATTGCAAAATGGAATCATCGATATGACAGTTTCCGTGTGCCCGCCCTGACTGGCATACAGAATTGCACACTCGCCCCGGGTGATCCGCTCTCCACCCAAAAGCCGACCAGCATGATTTTCCTTGGTCTTTATCGTGTTTGGTTCCACACCAGCTTCGAGGAGGACTGTAACAACCGCGTGGTGGTTCTTCTTAGCGGCAAGATGAATCGGCTTCAACCCGCGCCCATCGACTGCATTTGGCTCACTTCCGTGCAGAATGAGTAGCGATGCAGTCTTTCCATGACCGTTAGCGGCTGCCCAATGGAGAGGGATACGGTCCTGGGAATCCAGGCTCGTGACGGATGATCCCTTTTGAATAAGCTCCAGCACAAGCTCAGACATTCCAGAAAAGGCTGCGATATGAAGAGCTGTCGGGATGCCATCTGTGCTCTCCTTATCTCTAGTTGTCGAGCCCCATTGAAGAACCAACCATCTTCTAAATGCCAAGCTATCGACATTTAGAAAGCCAAGAACTGCATCAAACATCTCTCTGTCTATTCGGTCATATCGGCTGGCGTGATAGGACAAGTTCTCAACTGAGTAGCTCAAAAACGGATGTTTCAGTCGAGCATCCCTGTATTTGAAATGATCGACTTCCCTCTTCATCCCCCTACGGGAGTATCTCTCATAATCTTCGTCAGGATTGACTTTGTGATCAGGAACTTGGAATGTGACAGACGCGCTGTCAGACGTTTCACCCTCTACTAATAAGGATCCGCATTGAAGATAGCGCAGACAGTAAAGGGCCATGTGCTTGTGCGTCGTATCAGATTGTATCATCGGGAACTCTGTCAAGGAATCTTCTGATGCGGTACTGTGACTTCGGGTGTCACCTCTCAAGAATTCGGTGAACGAATGATGAATGACTTGGAGCGTCTCATCTTCGAGGATCTCTATTAGTGGCCCACAGGACGCCGCAACCAAGGATTTGAAGCCGGCTGAGTCGGTGGCATCTGGATAGATGCATTTCAGAAGATTAGCTAGTTCGTTAAGTCGTAAAGGTCGTGATGCATGGGTAACTGCTTCGAGCACAAGAATTTGTACATCTAAATTCACACCACGCTCTTCACGTTGGGTCGCGAGTATGTTGCTGTATGTCTTCTCTAACCCCACAGGTAGAGATTCTTCCAAGGACTGGAGATCGACAGAGCCATCAGAGTCCAGCGCAGCTTCCACCTGGTCCATTGTGAGCTTCGCATATAGAAACAGGCCTTCTGATCTTTTGGCGACCATTTCAATTATCTGCTGCTTTCGTATCTTTTGGGTCTTGAGCTTCGACGCAGAATCGAATCGATGGTTCAAAAACGAGACGATATCGATGTCTACAAGTCTTTGTTGAAGACTGACGTGAACAATGGAAGAATCCCTCAAGGCGCTTTGAAGGTACTGCTTCGGCCTGCTTGTCATGAGCAGCTTCAAAGTGCGTGGACGGTGCGTTGCTAAGCTGTTGAGCCGATCGAGGAACGATTTGTTCTCCATGGTCATTTCGTCTAGGGCGTCTCCCACACAATACAATTTCGGAACACAAGACACACCGTCGAGAAAGAGTTGAATAAGATCATTATCCGATGTTTCTGAGAGCTCGCCCCCGAGCCGCGTCTGCAACGCATACTGCAACTTTGGCGAGTGCGGCAAGAGCTGGGCGAGCCAGTCCCGCAAAAGGGCACGAGGCGAAAAGTTGGCGGCGACGATATTTCGAAAGAAGAAGAAAAGCACGGGGCACTCTTCAGTTGTGCGGAGATGCTGGATGATGGAAGCGGCCACGACGGACTTGCCGGCACCAGGAACACCTTTGATCCAGAGACTCCCGTGGTCAGGCGAGTCGTGCCATTTTCGGTATTCTTCAGTTTGGCAAAGCCAGAGTCCGGTTCCGGGAGCCTGAGATGAGAGATGGCGGCGAAATTCTCCAGACTCGGCCAGATAGTCAGTTGGCTGAAGCCAGCCGCGGATCTGAGCGAGGACCTCGGGGCTCAAGGCTGTTTCCTCATGATTCACAATATCGTATTCGTCTGCCGTATGGAAAGAGTTCGGCATGGTGTCACATTCTTCGTCAAGATGGCGAAGGAAGATTGGAGAATCAAGGTTGCCAAGGGCATGAATGTCCTTTTATCCGCGTCAATCACGGAACTAGTGTCGCAGGTAGAATATGGCCCCCACCGTAAGCCGTAGACAATGACTAACACTCTTGCTCATCCTAATATCAGTCTTCTTTAATGCTGAGTTACCTGAATGATTGGATGGATGGACTCGATTAACACTAGTAACCTAAGTAGCGTAGCACCCATCTGTGGTTGCCTAAGCTAAAGCCTGTGGCAATTCTAGTTTTCTCCTTGAAATAGTCATCTATATTTGGCCGTCCGACTCCTGCTTGGGCGGCACAGCCACGATCAGTATCAAAATAGAAGCCTGATTCGCCACTTATATACTCATTATTGCCGCGCCATGTCTTATTCCCTTAACCTGACGCTTCATAGAGTGCCCTGAACACAGAATGTCTATCCGACAACAAGGTTTCAGGCGCTCCTTGCTCTACGATACGCCCCTTGTCGAGAACCACAATTCTATCAAAATCCGCAATAGTCTCGAGTCTATGCGCTACAGCCAGAATAGTTCGGTCCTTGAAATCTTCACGGATGATCTTCTGTAACAACCGATCCGTTTCGACATCGACACTAAAACATAACCAAATGTAAGTCAACCAGGATCCAGCAGTAAGTATGTGAAGAAGTGGACGAATACTCACTTGCTAGTAAACTCGTCGAGGATCAGTATACGACTAGGGTTCAGCATGGCTCTCGCGAGGCAGAACAGTTGCCTCTCTCCATGGCTTAGGGCTTCCTCGGGGTCGAGTAAAGTATCCAAGCCTCCAAGGCCCACCACTTTAGGCCAAAGACCTACCCTCTGTAAGACATGCTGCAAGCGCTGCTCATCATAATCAGCCGCAGATGCCGCCACGGTGAGGTTATCTCTGATTGTGCCGCGTAAAAAGAAGGGCTCCTGTGATAGTGCGTTAATGCTGGCGCGGACCTGATTGATGTAGATAGTAGATATGTCGACACCATCAATGCAGACGAATCCACTGCTAGCATCTAAAACGCGGAAGAGGAGGCTTAGAAGTGAGCTCTTTCCACTATCATACTGTTAGCTATTCGATTTTAATAATCACGACTACCTCTTCAATCTCACTTACCTCCCGCTGCGCCCACAGATGCCAATATGCTCTCCAGGAGCAATTGATAGACTGACGTCTCGAATCACAGCTCCTGAGTCCACGGAGTGACTTGCTGTAACGCCCTTTATTTCAATACCTCCGGAATGCACCCATCCTTCTGAAGCTTTGGGCAGATGGTCAGGATCCTCAGAGGGCGTCTCAGAAAACGATCTGATCCGAGAAATGGCCCCGATGGAAGTCTCCAAGGACGCCCAAAAGGAGACCAATGATTTCAGGGACGTTCCCAGAGTCATCTGTATCCGGTTAGAAGTGAAATTCGAGGTGAGGCATTGACTTGGCATGATAAAGAGAAACATACCACGTTGACTAAAGCCAAACCCAAGTACCCTGGATTGATTGTCCCTCGAAGCCCCACGGCCGCAATCGCCACTACGATACCCATGACAGAGACCATCAAATCAAGAACCAGGTTGAGCCAACGTTGAATTGTAGCGAGCACGAAGAATGGTCGCTGGGAATTGTCGAGGCCCACGCGATTCTGGCGTTCAAACCCTTCCTCCCACCCAAATGCCCTCACAGTGGCCAAGCCTGACAGGGTCTCGATGAAATGTGTGTAGAGAGGTGCCTTGGTCTCCAAATCAAGATATCGGATTTGCCGGGACGTCCGCAGGTAGAAGCGCTGGATCATCCAGAATGCAACGAGCATGACGGGGAATATTGGCAAGATATAGACCGTGGCAATAGCAATGAGAACGATTTTGTACAGGCAATTGTACACGTACTCGACCATGTCTATTAAGGCCAGCGGTAGTTCGCTATCGACAAGACTAAGGTCTTGACTGAACCTGTTGGTGGTCACTCCCGTATCCGTATTGCTGAAGAAAGTCATGGTCGCGCTCATGAGGGCCTCGAGTTGAATGTCATGGAGCCTAATAGATGAAGCAGAGAGTGGGAAGATTAAGACATGCCAGATCCAGAGTAAAGTGAGCGCAATCTCTCCAACAAAGAACACGGTATATACTCCAATGTAATATCGGATCTTGCCATTGTCAGTGTCGTTCGCCCAAGCATTCAACCACAGACTTTGAGCGGGAGTAAAACCCATGCATATTGCTCCGAGGACAGCGAAAAATATTGAGTGTCTGTACCCTGCTGTTTTAAGGTAGTACTTCCAGATAGTTTTATCTCCGGTCTGCCTGGAGATGTCACTGGCGGAAGCATCCTGGGTTATGACTGTTTGATGAAATACCGGAGTGAACTCGGCCTCCTTGGCATCCTCAACGCGCCTAGCCGTGGTATCACGGTCTGGGTATTCGGATTCCGGGATATCTCCCAAGTCTCTCTGCGATACCAACTCCATGGGAAGGCTTTCGCGTTGGCCTTGGTAGACCACATCGCCTGCATCCCCAAGAAGTATGACGGAGTCTGCAGAAGGTAGAAGATGCACGGCATGCGTTGCGAGAATTACTGTTTGGAGAGTATTTTTCAGCAGTCCCCTTTCTCCTAGAAGACTTTGGAATATGATCTCTTCCGTCATTGGATCCAGCCCGCTAAAGATGTCGTCCAAGATAAGAATCGGTGCCCGTGAGTACACAGCTCTTGCTAAAGCCTATACGGTAAAAGTCAGCATATTCCAGGCTATATTTCCTTTACAAGTCACACATACAATGCGTTGCTTCTGTCCTCCGGAGAGTGTTATGCCCTTTGAACCCACCAGGGTTCGATCGCCGGAGGGGTAGTTTTTCAAATCTTCGAGTAGGGCGCAAGCTCTGATGACCTTACTGTACCATGAAGCATCAAACAAATTATTTCCGAGTACATTCTCTTGAATTGATTTGTTAACCAGCCAGGGAGTTTGGGCGCAGTATGCAATTGACCCATTGACGTTTACTGGTAGCTTAATCGATCCCTTGTGCGTAACCGTTTCTCCAAGAAGTGCGTTTATAAGAGTCGACTTTCCGCTTCCAACACTACTCTCGTTAATTCAAGCCTATAAGGGTTCAATAGTTTGACTCACGGGCCTATTATCATTGTAAAGGAACCTCTCTTGATATCCATTGATAGTCCGGTGAGTGTGGGATTTTCCCCATTCCATCCAACGCTCAAGTCATCAATCTTAACGGCGACGTGACGAGGCAAAAGGGTCTGGAGCTCATTGTCATTGGAAGAACTTGTAGCGAAGCTTCCTATGCTACCCTCTACCCGGCCGTCTCTTTTCATCTCTAGTAGAAGAAACGCTTCGATGCGGCGAAGGCAACCGAAAGCACTAGCCAGCGCCGGCATTTGTCTCAAAAATATCTCGAGACGTTCCATGAAAATGTTGAGAATGGCGAGAGATGTAAACAAACGGTTGACTCCAAAACTGCTATCGGATGGATTGAGAAGTGCGACGATGCCAAAGACTGTATAAGTTATCCATCTCGTTCCGCTAAGGCTTAGCGTTTGCAAGATTGCGAAGAGAGCCATGAAAACCCGCACTTTCTTTGCCCTGTTCACTTCCTCGTGGCGCAAGGCGCGAATCTTGGCGTGGATCTTCTCAACAAACCCCAGAATCTTAACGCCCTTCATGGAAGAGATGACCGAAGCTGTCAGGCCGACTCTTTCCTCTGTTGCCTCGAGCCACTCCTTTTGCCGTTTGATGTATGGCCCAGATTGTGCTCCAGTTGCGAAGGACAGAATGGCTGAAAATATAAGCGGTGCCATGAAACTAGAAAAGGCTGTCAGTCCAAAGTAAATTAGGTCATCCCTCAGCTTATCTCTTACGTGAGTCCTAGTTGTCTGTATAATAGACCCAAAGCCACAAGGGACATAACCCCATTAGAGGATGTCTCGTGAATGAGCCCAAAGCCTTTTACGATGCGCTCGACATCAGCACTCATCAATGTTAAGCTCTCGCCGCTTGCTCCTTCTTTCAAGTCTACTTTCAGCGTCTTGTCGTAGATGATATTCACGAGACATCCTCGGAGGATCGTAGCAAACCTGTCCAGTTGGTGCGTGTAAAATGCGGAAAATATAGCCTTGCTGATATACACGACCGCATAGGCCACGACGATGAGTTGGCCAAGCTCTTCAGAGTCGTCTGAGGAGATGAAGTCTAGAAGCGCACTGACGAGGAACGGCTGGGAGAAAGTGAGGGCCATAGCCAGTACGTTGGGAATCACTGGCCGGAGGAACAGTTTTGTGAGGGACATGAGAATTGTCCTCGCCAGCCGATAGCTGTGGACATTTGACATCGACAACCATCTTATCTCGAACCTCGCTAGTGTTTCTTCAGAAGAGAGCTCCTCGTCAAGATGGATCAGATCATCCAATTTCAGTATACCACGATGCCCTGTCAAGAGTCAGTTTTGCACACTGCTTCGTGATGAATTCAATAAGCATACCATGGAAGAACAGAGAATTGATCCACCAGAACACGCTTCTGCTGAGAATTCCGCTAGTTTCTTGTGGCGGGCGATCAGTATCTGCAGCTGAGAAATACATTACCTTATTCTGTGCCTCGACGAATAAGAGACTCAGCTTCGCTGCCAAAACAGCAGCCGAGAGAGATGTAATCAATGTATCAAAGTCCATTTTTACCACTTCGCAATTCAGATTAGTCTGGTTCTTTGCGGCTCAGAGCACCCTTTGGAAGCCTTACAGGTCCTCATCCTAACAAAGTCGAGTCCGATGGAGAATATGAGATAAAGGTTGAGAAGGGAGCTCGGGCGGATAGCATGATTATGCTCTGCCTTGGAGAGGGCAAGAAAGGCCAATGATTCCACCACGTAAACGGCCGCAGCAGCAATTGATGTTTGGGTCCTAATCGGCGCTCGGAGGATCCATAGCAGCAGGAGAACGAAGCGAAGAACGACAAGAAGAA